CATGAGAGGAGAACGCAACCTTATTTTCAAGATATCAAAAGAACTTACACATGACATATGCTTTTTAAATAAAGTTTTGTTACACTTGAGCAATTTAATTAAGGGGTCCTCTGCCATAAGGAAATGGAGAATAGATGGCAGTTTAAAATTCGGAATGAAGGTACTTCCATGGATACTGACATAGGGGAGCCTCAACCAGGACAAATCAGGAGCAGAAGCAGATTCTTAAAAGCTCTGACAGAAAAATCTCCTTCCCACTTCACTCAGAGAACTCACGTCTAACTCACAACACAAACTGAACACAGGAGAGTGGGCTTTGTGAATCTGTTGAGGTTCTCCACCAAAGTTAAGAATCTAAAAAAAATTACATTTCTAATTAGCCATTAAAAAAGAGCAGGGGAAGATTTCACACTTTAGAGAATACAACAAAAGACTAATTCCCTGTTTACAACCTAGGTTGATAATTTTCTAGATTAAATACTTTATAAGAGCTTTAGAAAAATGGCTACAACTTCAGCATTTGGGTGTACTGAAACACATAGTCTATGAAATCTTTTAAAATTCAGGAGTTATGGTAATTATTGACTAAACACTTGGAACAAGTATCTCTTTAGGTAGCAGCACCAGCTTTGACAGCTGCCTCCCTGACAGCACAAAGGGAGCATTTTGTCCATTCCCTCACTGTTCAGCGGGAGGACTGGAGGTCCATTAACAAAGGAGAAATCTACTCGGCGCTTTCAAAACAAGGACTCTTGTTTTCTCCTCTAGTTTTATGCAGCTACTGAAAAGTGAGATAGCTGAAGTCTGGCCTGGTTTATATGGCTACTTTGTCATGAAATGAATTGCAACCCAGAAGTCTTTAGGAATCTCACAGCAGAAGATCAGGTTTTGATAACATTATTGTCTCCCTTATGTACCTAAAATACATCAGGCAACTTAATTTAAGAAAAAAAATCACCATGTTGCCATGTGCATTTACTTACATTCCAGTTTCTGTCCAAATTCACTATTTTCACTTATAATTAGTGATTTAACAGATAAGCATGTCAGAGGTTTTGCTAGAATAAGGTGAATGAGCTCAAACTAAGTCACTATGCAAGCGTGACACTTCCATTTTCTAAGAGCACCACCAGTTTATAATCCATCAGTTTGTACCAACAAATAAAAATACTTTTTTTTTCCTTAAAAACACAAAAGGGAGAGAACTTCCAACACAGAAAGTGGCCAGCAACAGTGAGAAACCACAGGAAAAACTGATACTTTTTTAAGGTCAGGTTATGTGTTCGCAAAGTTAAAGTTGCTTTGATTTAACTAATGTCACCCTGTCTGCAGGGCATTAGGTGAACCCTTATATCAAAGGGAAGGAAAACATCCGGAATGCGACACCACCACCAGATCCAATTTTACAAGTCACATGGACCCACATTAGGAGTCGTAAAAGGAAGATTTAGACACACCCCCAGTAACATGGACAGAAAAGCAAATTCAGCATTTAATGCCTAACATTTATCAAAACTCACTGACACAGGTCTATGATCTCTAAAAGACATGTGACAGAGGAGCAAATGGAATAGAAATCTTTCATAGGAAACATGGAGTTGAGACTTTGGAGGGCAGAAAGAGGGAAGAAAAGCAAATTCTCACTGGTTTTACCAGACTGGGAACCTGACCCCAGAGGATCCTATATCATCATGTGAAATCACATCTGCATCCTTGCCAACAAATTTCTTTCTAGAAGGCTCCAGGAGCAGGTCAATCACTGCCCCAGATGACTGTCTGTACTAACACAGTACTCTAAGAAGAAAAACAAACAAGAAACTCATTCTGAGTTAAGCTTTGCGTGATATGGGGGATCATCTATTAAAAGACAGTAGTAGAAGATTTGCTGACCTCAGTACAGTGAGAATTTCGTACTTGTTTATTCTGTGGGAAGGGTTACACTCAGGTAAAATGAACAGAGTGTAATTAAAACATAAGACATCCCCAACTTTAAATCTCTTTGTAGCCTCAGGCCTTCTATCAATGCACATTCAGCAGAACCAGGCAGGAGAGCAACACTCATCTTTACCAGCCATATCAATGTAACAAGAACATACAGGAAGGCCAATAGAATGCATTATACTTCAATAATAATAATAAAACTTTTACACTGTCAAACTTCTTATAGCAGATGTTTCATGCAAACGTATTTCTTACAGTAAGTTTGAAAAAGAAATTGAGCTGAACACAGTCAAAACGCGTGCCACGGAGTACTGCAAAGCTGCTAGATATTGCTCTGGAACTTACCCATTTGGCTAGAGCTTCTTTGATAGTTGTTGCTTTTGCCTAAAAATGAAACAAATTGAAATGAATATTCATTGCGAATTTTTAGTTGGCTTGTTCACTGCAAACCCATCTCCTCTCCCTTCTCTCTCCCTTGACCAGGGGCTTGTCTACCCCCTTCTACCACTTTCCTGTATTATCTTCCTCCAGCTGAGTTGAAGAAGCTGGAACCCCACAGTGTCTCGTAATTTTATTTTCTGGGGTACTTGGTAGCATTTTCAGAAGCAATCAATTGGCTACATGTGAGGACGTTACCTTCCTGATCTTACTCTCTGCCCTGCGTGGAGCATGAGTTTGGGACACTGCTTTGTCAGCTTTGATGGTGAAATTCAATTCAATTCAAAACCAGAAGAAGTTACGGCACTGAAAAATGTGGTCTAATGCTCTTAAAAGCCCACACTTTCTATCACTGTGCTTAGCAACTTCCTGTCTGAAAGCAAATCTGTGAGCAGACAGAATGATACAGCCTCTTAAGATTCACCGACGAAAAGAAGATACATCTTGCCAAAAATCAAGAGCAATCTGGATTGTTTATATGTTTTCCTCCAATCATTTTATGTCGAGTCACATCATGTGATGTGAAAACATGCATTATTCAGTTAGGAAACATCTGAGAGCTGCTGTACAAGGCTTCCCAAGGATTGACCCACTGGCCAACTTTCTGTTGTCACTAACTCCAACTTTTCTGCCTCTCATCAGAGTCTTACCAAAACCACGTGATGATATCCCAAACAGTAGTGTACAGTGAAACTCTGATACAACCTAAACATTAAGCTTATTCCAAGATATCTTTCAGATTAACAAGGTTCCAGAGATCAGTCTCTCACAAAAACTGACCAACGGCTGACCTTCTACCAAAACAAGAGGACTCTAGTTCGGGCATCTCTGTTGCTTTTCTGTGTAGCACTACCGTAAGTGCATAGAAGCAGCCTTTCAGGTTATCAGATATATATATAAAGACAGTAAAAGTTAAAACCAACAAACTAACTTCCACCCAGAATCTCTTACAGACAATCAAGTTGGTCACAGAGCTTTAGTGCTGGGTACTTTAGACCCCTGGAAACTCTGGACCCAGAGGTGAAAGACAACACAACAGCTAAGGCAGCTGGATGCAAAAGCAGACACTGAACACTCAGCAACAGTCTAAGACCCAGCAATACCACGGAGCCTGAGCATGCATGTCAAATATGAAGATATACCTTCATTTAGACATATACTGCTGAGCAGATGTTCCAGTTGCTTCTGCCCACTGATGGGCATTCATTTGAACCCTGTCTATACCATGTCAAACCTACTCTAGGTGTAAGTGACCTGGCAAACTCATGGCATGGCAGGATCTCCTCTTGTCTGCTGCAGACAAAAAGGACAGAGGAGTGTGACCTCCTCCTGCTCAGAAAGTCACGACCCTAGTTCCCACTCCAACAGCCTCATGAAACCTGATTAACAGCTAACAGTGCAAGCAAAACCAGCTGGCTTCCAGATAATCTGGGGTTTTTTTGGACAGGAACTTCACTGCATTTTTCAGAATTATGGTAGCAAATTATTACTGCGTTTGGGAACATTACCTCGATCATTCATGTTGAAGACAGAAATGGATTTATATGACCAATGCCTGCTTCCATTTCAGACTCACACCTAAAACCGGATTAGACTTCGAAGCTAATGATCCACATGAGCACAAGGAGCAGCTTCTTCCCTGTCCCCTGCTGACTTGTTTCTCCCATTGTAACATCTGATTTGGTGGAAATCCAAAAATCAGCATAGTGGGTTATCAAGAGAATATGCACCAGGGATTTTGTTTTGTTCTTTGGAGTGCACTTGAAGTTTCTATAGGTAAATCACAGCATCTTCTGCCAAGGGAGGTTACTTAAGGGGAACCTTCCTCCAAGAAGCTCATTTTCAGGGTTCCTCTACCCGCATGTTGAACAATTTCCTACAGGAATTTAGACTAAATGAAGTCATATTACTTAAAACATTTGAAATACCAAGCGATCTATAGCTGAAATTGTCACCCTGACAAGACACCATCAACATGGCAGGAAAAACATTACACCTTAAAGGGAAAAAAAACCCACCCCTGTACATATAAAAGTTGTAACAAAAGATTTTTATTTTTTTAAAAAAACAAAGGCTGCTGCACACAGAATACTTACAAAAATCAGACCCCCAAGAACGAGTGAAACAGTGACACTTTGCCTTCATTTCCAAACATTTATTTGTATGTTGAATAGAGCAAATCAGAACTGCACAGCAACAGATACCAGGCTAATCGCTATAGTAATCGCAGATGCTGCTGCCTTAGAAACACGTAACTAACTATAGGATGGCACCCCAGACTCCCCACTACTTTGGTCTATCCCTGAAATCCCCCTTTCCGAGGCACAGGAACAGGCCACAACTGCCCCGCCT